GTGGTGTGTGTGTGTGTGTGTGTGTGTGTGTGTGTGTGTGTGTGTGTGTGTGTGTGTGTGTGTGTGCGTGTGTGTGCGTGTGTGTGCGTGTGTGTGTGTGTCTGTGTGTGTCTGTATGTGTGTGTGTGTGTGTGTGTGTGTGTGTGTGTGTGTGTGTGTGTGTGTGTGTGTGTGTGTGTGTGTGTTTGAGTGTGTCTGTGTGTGTGTGTGTTTGAGTGTGTCTGCGTTTGTCTGTGTGTGGCTGTGTTTCTGTGCGTGCGTCTGTCTGTGTGTTTTTTGTGTCCGTGTGGTTCTGTGTGTTTGTGCTGTGTGGGTGTGTGTGTGTGTGTTCAATAGAGCGGCTTCGGCAAGTGGCCCATCCTGGGTGAGAAGTCTGGCTGAACGCAGGAAACAGAAGGCAAGCTCGGCAAGGAAAAGGAAGTTCTGGAAGGGGGAGAAGAAGGAGGAGGAGGAGGAGAAGGAGGAGGAGGAGGAGAAGAAGCACGGCAAGAAGAGGAAGAGGCGAAAGAAACTTCGCCCGACTTGGCAACGTTTCTTGTTTTTTTGTGCAAGTACGTCTTTCGCTGGATGTCGCCTGCCTTCAGCTTATTTTGCGTTTGATAAGTCGTTTTGTCTTGGATGTATATTTGATGACCTGTGCATGTTGCATATCTACATAATATGTATGGCTTGGTTCCTCCCCCATAAGATTTAGCTTTGCATGTGCGTGGAGCCTTGCGACAGTCAGTCGCTACCAAGTGCATGAGTGTCATGCGTGAAGCTTTCTTGGTTCTGACTGTCATTTGTTCAGCCCCCATTTCACCCTGTTGTAGACACGCTCCTGGTAGAAATCTTCCATTTGAATTCCGTGTGCCAGCGCCCTGGGCCATCCAGATCAAGCGCGCGAGCTGGCCTGTTAAGGTTCGTGACTTGGGGTCAGGCCCCGTGGCAGTAGCAAGTGAGTAAGCAGTTTGCTTATAGTTTTTAACCCGGGGCAAACGAGCCAACGTGTGAGAGTGAGAGATGACTTTTCTTGTTTTCGCTTTCTTGTTTTGTGCGTGCCGCCCTATGAAGACTGGTGCTGAGAGATTCTCCTGTTCTCTTCCTTCACTTTCTTCTTCTTTTATGGTTCTCAAGTTGAAGTTGCGGCCGCAGACCCGGGCCAACAGGAAGCTGGCAGGCAGCAGGATTCGACCTCGCTCCCCGAAGAATGACTTTTGGCGGAAGTGGGTTTCAGAGCTTGGTGGTCCATGCACATGAGAGCAACAAAACACACCTTGTTTCACGGGCCAAATTTTTGGGACCGTCGCAATGCAGTCGAAGCCTGCAAGATAAATCCGTCTTCTGGCATCCGTAGCGAGCGCCATGGCCTGTAACCAGCCCGGCAGGGGTACCCTCAAAAACACACAAACATGAACATGAACGCAAACAAGCGCACACGCTCTCCCTGATACGGTGCTTCTTGCCCTTTCAAACATCTCTCTCTCTCTTTCTCTCCCTCCCTCCCTCCCTCCCTCCCTCCCTCCCTCCTCCCTCCTGTGTATTTGTAGGTATATGTTTCTAGATATACAGGTGTATACATGATGTGGGAACTACATATGACGTCTTTGCACGTGCACTTACATATGCATATGCACATATATGCTCAGTTGTACGCATGATATGTATTTGCCTGTGTGCCTGACTGCGTACATGAGCAACTGCGTCTAAGGTCCTACTTAAATTCATCGGGCAGCACCGCACACCTATTCGAATTACGTAGGCCTGTTTGCGGGCTTCTACCTTGTGCGACCCTTTATGGTAGCCCACGCTGCAAAAAGGCAACGTAGGGCAACGCGTTTTGCTGGCTAAAGCGTTCCTAGCATGCCACCAAGAACCCAGATAAGAAACAAATTGGAACCAGTTTGGGGTCGTTGATCATTGATTGTGGGGGTGACTAGGGCGGTTTGGGGTTCGACGCCAAAATGGTTTTCGGTTTTTTCAAGCGCCCCTCCAGAAAGCACGGCGGCGTTCAGGACACCGACGGAGGTGTGGTGCCTACCTTTCACTGAGCACCCACAAGAAGTGCAGGAGACGCAGTGGCCGCTCGCCTTTAGGCACCCGCTTTTGGCCAGGAGGTTTGGTTCAAAAGCACCCCTTTGCAGCAGTGCTTTGGGTCGTATCACGGCAAGGGGCCATAATGAAACGCTCTTTAAGAGATTCGCAAAAGAGCACAAAGTCATTTGCAGGCAAAGTGTTTGTTTTTTCAGAGGATGTTTCATGGAATGTTTGGCACGATGAAAGGTGGGACGGTTTTTGTTAAACCTTTCTCTATTATGTGAGCAGGTCACAGCAATATGCCATATATATATATATGGCCATGAATTCTAAATCCCCACCTCAATGATGTCCACCAAAGGGTCCCGAGTTAAAAACTCAGACCCATATCAAATCGACATACATATATATATATATATATGGGTTTGTTTTTTTTTTGGTGTGTTGAGTTGCTTCAAAAGGCAGAAGGTGGGACCTCCCCGAATCATACCCCCGAATCATACCCCCGAATCATACCCCGAATCATACCCCCGAATCATACCCCTTAAAACGTATGCTGCAAGATGCTAATGTTCTTCTACCGTTTTGCGTTGTTCACTGTCTCCACAACAACCACCACCAGCGCTACCCAATACTACCACTACCACTGCCACTACTACTACTACTACTACTACTACTACTACTACTACTACTACTACTACTTCAATTACTACTTCAATTAGTACTACTACTGCTACTACCACTACTACTACTACTACTGCTACTACCGCGACTACGAGTATTACTACCACTACCACCGCTACTGCCGCTGCTACTACTACTCTACTGCTTCTACTTCTGCTTCTGTTACCCTTAGTACTAACTACTGCGACTACAACCTTGACTACTACTACTACTACTACTACTACTACTACTACGACTACTACCTTTATTACTGCTACAACTACTACTACGACTACAACCTTGACTACTACTACTACTACTACTACTACTACTACTACTACTACTACTACCACTACTACCTTTATTACTGCTACAACTACTACTAGGACTACAACCTTGACTGCTACTACTTTTACTACTACTACTACTACTACTACTACTACTACTACTACTACTACTGCTGCTGCTACTACTACTACTACTACTATTCCTGCTTCTGCTGCTGCTGCTACTACTCACTACTACCACATACATCATTCTGAGTGTATAATCAGTGCCGTTTTGCACCTAGCCGAATCATACCCGCGAATCATACCCGAATCATACCCGGACAATGAGCTTCCCCTGCCAAGGCTAGTGCCAAGTCTTTTCAAAGCGTCCGCACCACTACTACTACCACTACTACTGCTACTACTACTGCTACTACTACTACTACCACAGCTACTACTACATTCATCATTCTGAGTTTGTAGTCAGTGCCGTTTTGCACCTAGCCGAATCATACCCGCGAATCATGCCCGAATCATACCCGCGCAATGAACCTGCCTTGCCAAGGCCAGCGCCAAGTCTTTTCAAAGCTTCCGCGCCACTACAGTCGCTGCTTTTACTGTTGCTACTACTACTACTACTACTACGACTACTACTACTACTACTACTACCTCTACTACTACTACTACTACTACTACTACTACTACTACTACTACTACTACTACTACTACTACTACTACTAATACTACTACTACTACTACTACTACTACTACTACTACTACTACTACTACTACTACTACTACTACTACTACTACTACTACTACTACTACTACTACTACTACTACTAGTGATGTTACTACTACAATATTACTACTAGTACTACTACTTCTGCGAACTGCTACTACTACTACTACTGCTGCTGCTGCTGCTTCCGCGAATCATACCCCCGAATCATACCCCGAATCATACCCGCGAATCACACCTGCGAATCATACCCCGTACTCAAACCTTCCTGCCCGGCCACCCTAAAAAATACAATCCCATATATATGTATATATGGTACCCCAAACAAAAACACCTGTTTGCAGAATTCACTGGTATTTCCAGTGAATGTAGCCTTTTTTTGGGGTCATATATATATATACACACACATACAGGGTCCGAAACCTCACCGAGGAAGCAGCCTCCCGGTGTCCACAAGAAGATCATCGAAGGCTTCAAAGCTCAAGGCGATGTGCAGCCCGGGGGCCCACGAGAAAAGCAAAATTATGGTGTGGGTCAATATTACACCAAAAAACCGCAGATCGCCATGTGTCCATTTACCAGGGCAAGCCATTTTGGGTACCTAGTTTTGACCCACAGCCATATCGTTCTTTTTGATTCTTTGTGTTGGTCTTGATCCAGGGTTGTGGGATCAAGGGCTTTATCCCCACTTCTGGTACAAGGGAATCTCCCTCTTTAACTGGGGGGTTAGTCTTTGGGAAGCTCTCTCTGCTGTATCGCAGAAGTGGTCATTTCCCACAGCCCTGTCTTGATCTGTTTGAAAGAACCTGGACCCTCAAACTATCCAGAGAAATGGGTTGCCCCAAAATGTTGGAGTGAAATCACCCCATCTTTTTCTTTAAACGGTATACAGTTTGCGGGATTGGCTTGAAACGTCCGAATAAAACCGGCCTTGGAGGGTCCAACGGATGGTTTTTGGGGCACCTCCCATATTGCCGCTCCATGTGTACGTATACATAGACAGATACATACAAATATTAAGTATATTAGGAACATAATATACATATATATATATATATGTATACACATACATATGCGGTCACCCCTCCCCCTACAAAAAACAAAACAAAACAAACTCCTTGCTATTTTTTGCACAAAAGAGACTTATTTGCAGATGTTCAGTGTCCACTTGGTTTGCACATTGCAGGAAACCCTGTAATTGACAGTGTGTTTGTGATATGTATACAGAATTCTACGCCCTGGGCCCTGGTTTTTTGCACCCAAGCGCTTTTGCTATGATTTCAGGTGATTTGCCTGCTTGGAAACCCCGAGCCGAAAAACACCTCGAGAAATCGGGGGAAAAAACAACACCGAAAAAACAAAGAGATGCTTGGTTCTACCCACTTAGAAGCCTCAAAAAAACTTTGAGAAATCGGGAAAAATCAAAACAAAAAGCAAGTTATAGGAGAGATGACAGGGTACACCAGTAATGTCCTCTGCAATTTGTTGTTTTTTTGGTTTTCTTAAGTTTTTTCCGGTTTTCTATTCATCCCTGACTGCTGGCACAAAGAAAGAAAGACAACGTTCTAGGAGAGATGACAGGGGTATACCAGTAATGTCCTCTGCAAAAGTGTTGTTTGTTTTTTGTTCGATTTGTCGAGAGTTTTTCGGCTTGTTACACATCATGGTAATCCTCATGCACATGTAATGTTAACTACTAGATCTAGAAAAGGTTCATTTTTGTATGGTCTTTGATATATTTTCCTCAACTAAAGGCTCCCCCCTGCCCCTGTAATAAGGACTCTTTTCTCCTTAATACAGCGTGAAATAGATTCTTTGCCAAGAGTGTTCGAGCCTCTAGAAAGTAAGTCATAAAGTGAAACAGGCTTAAGCCGTGACATAAAACTCTTGAATAACATCTTCTACAGGTGGCATTATTTGGATTCGTTTAAAATCTGTCTTTAAACCTTCGTATATGTCTTAATAGTTGAGTTAGCTGATGTTGGCAATGCTACAACTAAAAGGTCAAAATTTGAAGATCATATTGATTTTCTGCAATTCCATTTTTGAGAAAACTATTTTACCATCTATGCTTCTTTTTTAGAGATATATCATCATCAACAACACATTTTATCATATACCCTTTTGCATCAAGTTCCTGAGCTATCTTTGTCCCAGCAAGACCTGCACCATGATGAGTTTAAATGATAAACTATAGCAAGTGAGAAGCTTTTTTTTCAACGCTAGGGTATAGTTCTTGACCAAGCTTTTCGATACCTTGATATACATTTTCTATAGATATATCAATATCACTTGAGGTATTAGTATTTGGAAATATTTGTTGATCGTATGTTTGCAAACAACACCAAGTATATGAGAATGGTTTGATTAATTCTATTATATCGTTATGATTATTTTTCTTTTGGGCAGTTTTGTTTTACTGAGATATAACTTCAATCAACAGATTAGGGTCAGTTTCAATTATTGATTAATTACTGCTATAACCTCGTGTTGTAGGTTGCTTTAATTGTTGTGTTGCCCATGTTCTGCACTTTGTACCCAAAAATATAATTTATCCTATACCCTACAGATATGATCACATCCGGGTTATACTCTTTAACATGTTTGGAGTTGTTGAGGTGCGGATTGGTGTTGAGTCAGTTGGTTTGCCTTGAAGTGACCTATTTGCGCGTTTGCAAAAACAACCATCCCGCTCTATGTATATATATACAGGTATTGAGAAACCAGTGACCCCTAACCCATGACTTGCCGCCGTTTCTCTACTCAAACTGGGCGCCTGGAGCCCGCGGAAAACGGAGCCCATGCTCGATGACAATGTTGGGAACTATAGATACATGGTAGCGGAGCGCAAGGTCCGCAGCGGTTTCTTTGGCGAGCCCTACGAACCGATCGGGCTGATTGCAAGACCTCCACAACTGACGGCTCTCAGAACTCCAGTAAGAAAGAGTCGCGCACCCTCTACTCCACGACCGGTGCCAAGCACTACCAGCTGATCAAGCAGTGTCCCTCACGAACAACAACCATGACCGCGGTATAACCTGCAAGTTCCTCTAGGGGAAGATCCAAGAACGTAGGTTCCTGCCGCCCAAGCCCGGGTGACGAGATACATCGCCTCCGGTGTGAGAGGTGGCCAGCGCGGGTGGCGCAGAAAGGGCTTGGGGTCTGGACGCGAATATGATCTCACGGCCAAGAGGTTTAAGTGAAGTTTCACATACGACATGAACACATGTCACCGCAGGCCTTGAGCTCATATAGAAAAGCGAGTTTGGTAGCGGAGCGGGTAAGCTGCTCCACAATTTGGGGTCTCCGGCGCCATTTGTCGGGGCCTCTCGCTGGGCTACTGGTCCCTCAGTCAGGGGGACGGTTCTCCCCGCTGAGGGAACCGGTGGAGGCGCGGAGGAGTTCGAGAACAAGCACCCGCACGCGGCGATCTTGGCTTCTGTAAGCCCCAAGGCTTGAGCCTCGGGCATCTGGCCAGGAGGAGGCAGAGAATTCGATCCAGGAGACGGTGTTGGCGCGAGCCCACGTACAGCAATGGCAGCACCTCCCGGGACGAACGCAGGCACTACCTGACTATCCTCTTCGTTTGTACTTCGACAAACTGAAGCTGTGGTACAGGGTATATGATGGACCTGATGAGTGTGTCGGGCCTTTGGTGGCAGGTCGATTACATGGTCGCGCTCATCGCATAGCCCTGCAGCTGCGTGTGCCGCGACCGGACGGAACCTTCGACCAAGGAGACTCAGCACTGGTGAGACTGGCAGTCGACGAAGTCAGAGACCCGATCAGCCCCAATCAGATCCTGCAGGCCCATATTCCATCTGGCGTTCAGTGCTTGTGCAACGCGCTCAGAGATGCCTTCGGGCAGAGCGATCAGGACATGGCTTCGTCATCGCTCGACAGGTTCTTTGAGTGCAGACGGTACAAGGTGAGCTTTCAGGAGTATGCGGTCGAGTGGGACATGCGATTGGAGGAAGCCGCCGATCGAGCTGGATTACAGATCAACGAGGTTGCGAAGTTTTACCTGTTCTTTGAGAGCTCAGGTTTGCCGCCAAAGATGATCGACGACCTCAAGATGCAGATCGGAGGCAACCTCAATCGCTTCGCAGATGCCAGATCCTTGGCTCTTTGCCTCAGCAACAAGAGTGATGCACAGAGCGATGTGTTCTACAACGAGGACTACTACCAGGAGCCGACATACACGGATGAGGATTGGTACAGCCAGGAGTGGTACGATCCTATGGAGTGGATCGGTGAGGACTACTACCAGGAGAACGAGGACGTCTACTACGATTACGAAGATGACGGCGACTATGAGGACTACGATGAGTACTATGACCAATCCCAGGTGGACGCTCCGTCGTTATCATCGACGACGGAACCAGGTGGAGAACAATCGCCCAATGCTGCAAAGAACGCGGAGGAAGTCCACGAGGAGTACTACGGGCAGCAGAAGGGCAAAGGCCGTAGCTGCTACATTTGTGGTAGCAGATATCATATCTCCACTGAGTGCCCCATGAACAAAGGCAAGGGCAAAGGAGGCAAGAGCAAGGGCAAAGGCAAAGGATACAAAGGAGGATACAAAGGAAAAGGGTACAAAGGTGGCTTCAAGGGTGGTTACCAGGTGTTAAAACCCTCTAGGCCCCGTGCCTAAATTGGGAAGCTGTTCTGAGGTCTGTGTTAGTGTTGCTTACCAAGTTCCATTGATCGCCATTTAGCTCAAGACAACATTGAGGTTCAAGATCGGATGTGTAGCTGCATTCACACGTGATCGGCATTGAGAGCGGAAAACACTTCGCTTGCGCTGCATTTGTCAGGACCACTGTTGTAACTATCATTCCTTCTCCCTTACAACGTTTACACGGGTTCGGCTATAACGGCATCGTCCGTATACACCTTTCTACGTGGTTGGTATTACAGCTGGAGGGTTCGGCGCACAGCGTCCCACGGGACGTCACCTTGCCGTCTCTTGACAGGTTATCAGCCGTATCGACAAGCTCTACACTGGACAGAGAGACAGCTGGTTTATTGCGGGTACAGGGACAATAAAGGAACGATAACCTACACAGTACAATGGCATCTTCAGCGAGCCCAAGTACTGCAACTTTTGGGAACAGCAGCTCAGAGGGATCCAATGGATTGATGGCTCTTCCTGCGGCGCAGACTCACAGGATGAACCTGGGAGCGGAGGTTCCGCGCTATTCAGCGACATATCCACTCCCACAAGATCATGGAAGCAGATCGATGTTCATCAGGAGTCGAAGCAAAGAGAATCTCCACCGAGAAGATCATCATCTTCGCCTGCGACACCACGGACGTCGCAGAAAGGCGTGAGATCAACATCGAAGGGTGGGAGGTCAAAATCACCCACCAGTGCGGAGTTTCGCGCCGCGATTAAAGAAAAGAACAAGATGGAGGTGGAGATCGGGGAATATCAAAAGACGAAATGTCGGCAGCGATGGCGAATCTTCATCAAGAAGACTATGGAAGCACCA